TCAGAGGGAGACACGTCAGATTGGGTGAGGGTGGGTAGAGAAATTGAGGCGACCAGTGGCACATTGATAGATTGAATGCAGGTAAAAGGCCAGACGGAGGGATTCACGTGGAGGGAGAGTATTGAAGCTGGGTGAGGGGGTCTGTGGGACAGGGAGAGCACTCTTACCCAAAGAAATAGACATGGAGGCAAAGACAACGAAAGAAGAGTTCGACATCATGTCATGTCCGAAATTCATGAAGGTAGGAATGCAGAGGAATAAAACTGGGACCTTTACTGAGAACAGAATGTTCAGCATCGGAGAGCAGAAGCTTAGGAGGGCTGGTGGATACCCAACAGGAAGTGGGGTTGGAGGAGGGGATGGAGTCAGAGGGAAGGGAGGGGAGGAAGGTACCAGAGGGCCATGGGTATCTCTGAGTTGTTGCATCTTGTGGGCTTTGATGCCTGAAAGGAAAAGAAAAAGTTTCTTGTTAGCACACCAAATGAGCCGGAGGATGAAGTAGAACTGCGGAGTGGTGCAACTCTGAGCCAGCATGATGTGATGCTGTTGGAGAGAGAGGTCAAGAGTGTGCATGTGACACCACATGGCACTGAGTGTGGATCTCAGGATGCAGCAAAAGTAGCTTTCTGTGGAATGTTGAACATCAGGGAGATACCTGTGATCCTGGGTGGATTCAAAGAACACGGGATGAAACTTGACTTGGAACTCACACGGGATGAGTCTCAGCCAGAGAAAGTCACTGAGAAATGTGATATGGCTGTGGAAATGAGTTTTAGCAAATACCCGTCAAACACTAGGAACAATAATGAAATTAATGTCAGTGGACAAGAAAACAGATTGTAATCGAAATCCCGGTGGAGGGAGGAGCAGAACTTCTTCAAGGTGGGCATGCCTGGAAGAGATGTGGCTGTGAGTTAAATACTAAATAAAAACTGAGAGAACTGTGGATGCTGTAAGTCAGAACAAAAACAGAAGTTGCTGGAAAAGCTCAGCAGGTCTGGCAGCAACAATGGAGAAAAATCAGAGTTAACGTTTGGGTCCAGTGACCCTTCCTCAGAACTGATGGCAACTAAGCAAATGTCACTTTATATGCAGAGGACAGGGTGAGGGGAGGGGTAAGGAGTAAACGATAGGTGGAGATAAAGCTCAAAGAGAGAGAAGAACAGTTGGACAGACAAAGGAGTAGGATAATGATCTGACTAGGACAGTGAATAGCTGTTAATGGAGACAGTTAGTGGCTAACCATAGGTAGTGTGTAATGGCAGACAATGTGATAACAAGATCTGATGCATGGGGTAGGGGGCTGGGACATGGGAAAGTTTAGGCCCTAAAATTATTGAACTTGATATTAAGCCTGGAGGGCTGCAGGGTCCCCAAACAGAAAATGAGGTGTTGTTCTTTCAGCTTGCGCTGAGCTTCACTGGAGTACTGCAGCAAGCCACCTACGTTTTGCCTGCAAAATTAAGCCTGAATTTCCGGTTACCTGCCACTTTAACACACCAACCTGTTCCCTGGCCAACATCTCCATCTCAATTTTAGTTTGCAGGCTCCAGCTACCTCCTCTTGGCGTTTTACACATCCATCCCTCACCAGGATAGTCTCAGGGCTCTCCACTTCTTCCTGAAACAAAGGCCTGAATTGTCCCCATCCGCTAAACCTCTCCTTCACTTGTCCGAGCTCGTCCTCACCCTGAACAACTTCTCTTTTAACTCAGAGATAGCAGGAACTGCAGATGCTGGAGAATCCGAGACAACAAGGTGCAGGGCTGGATAAACACAGCAGGCCAAGCAGCATCATAGGAGCAGAAAGGCTGACGTTTCGGGCCTAGACCCTTCAGGTTAGGGGGTGGTCATGGTTACACGCATGGACCCCAGTTACGCCTGTCTCTTCGTGGGGTATGTGGAACATTCCTTGCTCCTGTCATATTCCAGTCCCCACCCACAACTCTTTCTCCGTTATATTGATGATATAATCGGTGCTGCTTCCCTCTCTCATTTGGAATTGGAAAAGTTCATCGATTTTATTTCCAATTTCCTCCCCACCATCACTTTCACCTGTTCTATCTCTGACTCCTCCCTTCCCCTCCTAAACATTTCTGTTTCAATTTCTGGGGATAAATTTGCTATTAATATCTACTGTAAACCCACCAATTCCCAGAGCTACCTGGACTATATATCCTTGCACCCTGCTTCCTATAAAGACTCCATTCCATTCTCCCAATTCCTCCGCCTCTGTCACATATGTGCCAATGAGGCCAACTTCGACAATGGAGTCTTCAAAATGTCCACCTACTTCCTCAACTGAGGATTCCCAGCACCGTTGTCCACAGGGCCCTCGACCGGGTCCGAGCCATCTCCCATACTTCTGCCTTCAGCTTCTCTCTTCCTCCTGCAACAGCAATAGGGTTCCCCTTGTCCTTACCTACCATTCCACCAGCATCCAAATCCAGAAGATCATCAGCTACCATTTCTGCCACCTGCAGCGAGATACCACCACATGACACATATTCCCCTTTTGTCCCTGTCTGCCTTATGCAGGGACCATTCCCTCTGGGACACCCTGGTCCACTCTTCCTTCACTCCCAACATCCCCACAGCCCCACTGCACCTTACTCTGCAACCACCTAAGGTGTAACACCTGCCCTTTACCTCCTCCTTCCTCAGTATCCAAGGGCCCAAACATATCTTCGAGGTGAAGCAACACTTCAAGTGAGCTTCCCGTTGCGTGGCATTTCAATGCACCACCCTGTTCCATGGCCAAAATCTCTGTCTCAGGCTTGCTGCAGCGTTCCAGTGAAGCACAGCACAAGCTGGAAAAACAACACCCCATTTTCTACTTGGGGACCCTGCAGCTCTCCAGACTGAATATCAAGTTCAGTCATTTTAGGGCCTGAACTCTCCCATGTCTTAGCACCCGACCCCATGCACCAGGCCTTGTTATCACATAATCTGCCATTACCCACTACCTATTGTTAGTCACTAACAGTCCCCATTAACAGCTATTTTTCCTCCCGGCAAGATTGTTATCCACTCCTTTGTCTGTCCAACTGTTCTTCTCTCTTCGGATTATATCCCCACATATTGTTTACTCCGTACCCCCTCCCCCCATCCTATCTTCTGCATATAAACTGACATTTTCCTAGCTACCATCAGTTCTGAGGAAGGGTCACTGGACCCGAAACGTTAATTGATTTCTCTTCACAGATGCTGCCGGACCTGCTGAGCTTTTCCTGCAACTTCTGTTTTTGATGCAGGAAATGTTCCACCTTAATTTCCAACTTGTCCTGTCCTTTAAGATTGCTGCTCAGTTTTCTCCACAACAATATGAATTTATATAGAACCTTTAACAAAGTTTTTCACAGGGATTATATGAAATAGAATTTGAAACACATTCACAAAAGAACTGATAAACAAATGCTTAATCAAGATGAAGGTTTCAACAAGCATTTTAACAGAGAAGGGAAGGTAGAACATGGAGATGTTTCATATATTTCTCAATACAATTGGACCAATATATTTGAAGCAAATAAGAGTTTAATTGCTTTTTGATGGAGGATGTTTTGGATCACCTGTGCTTATAAATTCTAGCTCCAGTCTTTTAAAGAAATGTATTGCCTTTTTCATGTCATATATTTCTGACATATTGAAGTGTATCAAATACTCTGAAGTCCTTTATATAAATAGATGAATCAGTTAATTAGTTCTCAGTTGAAAGTTTAACAAGAAATAGTTTTCATTTATTTCAGTTATGAACCCTTTATTTAAACCATAAAAGCTAGTACTTTATAAATACCTTAGATTTGCTCTATAAAGCTGCCTTTGGAAGCAATATGGATACAGTTTATAGAGAGATATATTGTAAAGATGCTAACCTTGATATTTATAAGGAAACAGGATAGAATGGTTCCTGAGAGCAGTTCCTAGAAATGTTGGAAACATAGAAGTCCACCTTATTATTCTTTCATTCACTTTCCCTTCCAGTACCTGGCAAGATTGACAGGTTGTTGGATAAGGTGACAGCATGTGATATCAATAAGGGTTGGTCCCTTGGTTAGACTGTGTCTTGGAGCACAGCAAGCAAGAGGCATTGAGGCAAGTATCAACAGTGTAGTGATGGTCAATTGTGATAAGGGAGATCACAATCAACAGAAGCTACACTAGCAGGTTAGGGAGCATTCTTAATACTCCTGGCTCCAAAGCAGTGCTGGAAAAGCATGTACTGCCTTGATCAGACTAACTTTCTCTCCCTTAAGCCATCAAATTCCCCATACCCCAACTTTAAGTTTAAATCATGTTCCTAACTGCACTGCAGGAGCCTGATTTAAATAGTAAAGTATCCTGGTTCTTTGAAGCAGGAAACTCAAATGCAACCTATCACTGAAAGATAAAGGCAGGACTACATTGTATTTGGTTCTGAAAGGGTCAATCTTGATTGAATGCTCTGTGATGATGTCAAGTGAACTTGGTGGAAGGGAGATCTTGTGGGAGACAGACCTGAAGTCAGGTCCCCTCAACAGTTTTTGGAGTGAAGTAAAGTCTATTTTTATAACCTCTAAAAACTTGGAGAGATGTTATAAACTTCATCTTGTTTACTCTTCAAGACTCTTCTTGTTAGACCAGAAGGTCTTGAACACAATGCACCAGATAAGCCCCTGAAGAATTCATTGACTTAAAGGATATGGAAAGCAGTGCACCTACCAGTACGCACACACTGGCTTGGGGTCATGATGTTTATCAACCCCACTCATGCTGCTATGGGGGCGGGTAGCTAATATAAGGACCACAGGGTATATTTTTAAAACATGTTGTTTCTGTATTCGAGAGCAATCATGGATGCAAATATATTAATGAGAAGTGAGTCTGACCAGAAAGTTCTTTTCAATAACACTTTAAGAAATCACATATGCAACACTCATTGTTATTGAGCCAGTACAAAAAGCTTCTCTTGTTTTCATGCTAATGCGATAATGTAATGATTTTCCCTATTTGCTCTCTTCACAGGTCACGGCTTGCAGATTTCATCACAAACTGTCAGCCAGAACCTCGTTCCATAAGTGGCTGCTTAAGGCAAAACTATGCAGCCTGTTTACTTGCCTACTCTGGACTCATAGGTAAGCTTTAATAAAGAGGGCACACTTCCTTACATTATGTACAATTATGTGGAGTCTACTGCAAAGAAACAGCTGTTTCTATTCATGCTCCACACAAGCTTCCCAATTTCACTCTTCAGCCAACTGTTTCAACATATCCATTTATTCCTTGTTTTCCTATGTGTCTGTCTAAACACCCCATAAATATAACAATTACTTCTTGGGTAGGAAGTCCCATATTCTAACCACATTTTGAGTCAAAAGGTTTCTTATGAATAAAAACCGAAAGAATTGTGAATGCTGTAAATCAGGAACAAAAACAAAGTTGCTGGAAAAGCTCAGCAGATCTGGCAGTATCTGTGAAGGAAAAAACAGAGTTAACGTTTCGGGTCCAGTGACTCTTCCTCAGAACTACGTTTGTTCCTGGTTTTTTATGAATACCTTGTTGGATATAGCCGTGATTACCTTATGTTTATGGTTGATAGATTAAACCATCTCGCAAGCAGCCTACCCACCCACAGGTGGAATCATTGGTCAGGAAGTTCCAGGCCCATTGCCTACATGTTAGGAGACAGGAAGGCTTGCAAAATGTAGGCAGGTGCTCAACTCTGTCTAGCCAACATACCATTTTACAAATGGTGTGAATGGTCACAGATGAGCTGCTCATTAGGAACCAATTTAAATGGCCAGTTAAGGGTCTATTTCTATCTCAATTGGCATTTTGCCAGTGGCAGGGGGCTCTGATGCAACATGGAGAACTGTCAGGTAGATGTTTGTGATCTCTGTCAGGCCCTAGTGAAGTTGCTTCTGTTTAGGCATGCCATGGTCCACGGAGGGCTCCACCCAAGCAGTGACAGTGCCTATGCCAGTAGTAACAGCAGCACCTGCCCTCAGTAAGGTTCCTCCTAGCTTTTGCTGAGACCAATGTAATTGGCTCAGGCACCCCCAGACCTTACTTGGCAGACTTTGAGGGCACAGACCCTCTTCATCATCAGCTTTGCGGTTGTACTGCTGGGGCTGTTGTGATGCTAGCCCTCTGATTGGATTGGCAGTTCTTTGGGCAGGACCTCAACCTTCATAAAGTTTTAGCTTGATGGGCTGCCCCTGATAACATGTGGTCTCGGGTCCTGCTACCTGCTAAAGTGGAGTCACCTCGACTCATCAACCAACCCACTTTTGGTTCTGGCAACAATACACTGGCACGTCTGCAAAATTTAGCCCAGCATCTTTACAGCCACCTCATCAATGTAAATGTGATTAAATGTCTTTGTTCAAAGGCAATCATCATGGACTGGTTGATCTGAATGATCTATTTCTGTGTTATAATTTGTGTATTTTCAAGTCCATGTTAGACTCATACTTTCAGCATGGATTTATTATTGAATGACAATGCCTGAGAGATGGCTTATCCAATTTTCCATAAAACTGTCTCTCATCCTGCTTGGTACTATTGATGCTTGACTTTGAAAAATGGAAAACAGTAATGGGTGAGCAATTTCTTGCTATTTTTGAACACTTGTTTCTTTTCTAGCAACTATGATATGACAGCCAATGTGTTTTATCTCAGAAAAAAAGCAGTTTGTGTTTGGTTAAATGAATGATCATTAAATTTGATCTTGGCTTCTCTTGACAGGGACTGTCATCACCCCAAACTATATTGATTCCACTGGCATCAGTGTGGCACCATGGTGTACTTGTAATGGAAGCGGGAACCAGAAGGAAGAGTGCGATGAATTCCACAATTTTTTTAAGGACAACAGATGCTTCAGTAAGTTCAACAGTCTACTGCAGTAAGATTTAAAGATTTTGGAGAAGTAATAATTGCATTTAAATTTAATTGTTCAGTTTAATTGTCATCCATACACAAATTTTCTATGAAATTGTCTAATATATTGTAAAGTGCTATAACTTGCCAATTCATCTGGATGAAAATGCTTCTGTTTTACCTTGCCTTTTATGAGATTTGCCTTTTCAAAATATATTCAAAACTAACAATGAGAATAAGCATCATTTATATAATTATTCTCTGATATAGAATACATACCTACATGCATTATAACAGAACAATACATTAATATTAATCATGTTATGAGATAGATGTAAAGGGTATTGAAGCAGACCATCAATGCATATTAATTTAACTATACATCAAAATAACTGTTATAAGTTACTTCAGTGAGGTCCATTAGTCAAACAAAAGCCATGGTGTCCGTTAGTGGGACAATGGGGAATGTAATTCTTCTCTATCCTGTGTGACAATTCAGCTGAAGGAGAAAGCATAACAACAGAAAAAAATTGGGTGGGAGGGATGGACAGTATCAAGAATGTCGAGGCTTTCACTTGGTTCCATCAATGTTTCTTGGAACAACATCAATAACAGGTAATTTGGTGACGTCTACAATTTCTGAAACATATTTAGATTTTGAAGCAATATTTAAATTTTGGTTAGAGTTTAATGCAACTGTGTACAATTCTTACTCTTGTTTAATTCTACAGAAAATGCTATACAAGCATTTGGTAATGGCACTGATGTGAATGTTTGGCAATT